TACTAAGCCCCATCCCTTGGAAGCAAGCCCCATGGGCTTTTTTCGGGGGGGTGTTCATGCCAGGAGATTATATTCGCGTCCTACATACTATATAAGGCAGAGAATTTCGACCGCACTATCGTATAAACAGGGAAAACTCAGGTTTCTTGCCATAAGGTATTCCCCATATATAACCATAGATAACACCCTGCAAAACTGAACTCTCGTGGGTTTCTTGACACCTGCCTTTTGGGCTTGGTAACTACTTGAATACCCCCTGGTCTACAGACATCCAAGGTTGGACGACACATAATTTTCCTGAAACACAACATATTTCAACCTCTTGCTTCACCTAAACATGGCTGAAAGTACTCTAGGCATGTGCATCAGGTCTTGCATCCTCCGCTCCTGCATACTGTATTTTGCCTCTCTGTGTGCATGTTGCATAAAATCTCCACCTCCGCCTTGTTGCGGAGGTGGCTTAGGATGAGTTTTTCTTATGAGCCATTGAGGTCGTTCGAGATCCCGCAAGACTAGAAGCTTTTGTGGATGACCTCCTCATGGACTTCCTCCCAAGAGCGAACGATCCGCTTAAGGATCAGCTCGGGGGCGGGATTCTTTAGGATAGTTGCAAGGTACTGCGGTACAACGCATGTGAATCTTGGCTAGTCTCGAGGCCAAAAAGCTAAACAAGCACAAGAGAAGGACTATAGGACAAGAACAATGGAGCGTACCTTGCTTTCTCTTGCGCTCGATGCCGTATCTCTCAAACCACCCACCATCTTCACTTCGCACGTCTGCCTTCAAGGATTTGTTGATCAACACAGCGAGTGGCTTTACCAATGGCGTGCAGCCACTCAGGATCGCGGCATGGGTGAACTTGCACAAACCGCCTCTGTCAGGTGGTCCTTGTAGGAGTCAACGACGATAAGAGCCTCCTTCCTCTCCCTATTGGCTTCACACAGATGCCTCATACAGTAAACAGGTTCAGGGCCTTCTAGTCCGAAACAAGCTTCTCAGCTATCCAACCCTTTGGCTGGGTGCGAATAATAACTCTAGTGAACAAACAACATTCTCGGTTAGAATCAAGGATAGAGCACGACCAAGAACATGAGAAAATCTGAAATGGTAAAGAACTTACCATTAGGGACTTGAATCTTTGGCAAGGTCTTCCTCTTGAAGATAGCGTACGGCGGCAGCATCTTGTCCGATGCTGTTACCACCAGCATGACGGTGAGTCTTTTCTTCTCGTAGCCCGTGGTCCTTGCGTCGGTCATGCGCATTCTCTTGTGCTCCAATGTTCTCTACTGCAGTATCTTGATGAAGAGGGGTGTCTGGTTGGCGCTCACTACCAAGACGAGGCCATATTTGTTAAGGATGTGCATCTGCTTGAGAAAATCGCAAAAGTTCTAAATTTTGGCCTTCATCTCTGCACCAGCAACATGAAGGAAACAACGGCCATTAAACTGGTACAGCAGGTTTGATTATCGCCGGCAAGCTTCTGCCCCACATTCGATTTGACGCGACACGTTAGCTTCTAACAAGCGCAAAACTGGAAGGTCCATTGACTGGACCCACACTAGTCCATGTCAAGATGGTTTAGGAGCAACTCCTATGCAGCTGCAAGACCAAGAAGGCTAGCCCCTTGCTGCGGTGCCTCATTAATTGTCGATGAGCGCTGACTCCATCAAAGGGTATTTGGCAGGTCAACCAGTGCCGATGAGCCGCCTTCGACAACCAGCTGCGACTCTCAATTGCTCCCTTGCCTTCTTCCACTCCTGAATGCCAACGGGCTGAACCCTTGCGAGCGTTGCAAGGGCACGAATAGAGAGCTCAGGCTGTGTGTCAAACATTGCGAACTAATACAGCTTCTCTGTAGCGAAATAGGAGTGACGCGCTCGTTTCAAGACCCTAGTACGTGGGGCCAGTGGGTTGGCATTGTGGTTGATGGTCAGTCCTTGCAGTTGCACAATGGAAGACAGGAATGACGGGACATTCGCATGGGGTAGCAGACGTCGACCCTCGCTAGCACCACTGGCTTCATCACCGGCAGTTGTGGCACCGTTGCTAGCCGCACGGAGAGGGCTCCAAGGCGGATATGAAACAGAAGAGTGGCAGTCCAGAGCGGCAGAAAAAGGTATGCTGACATAAGAGACGCGTTGAGCTAGGAGACAGCTGAGACCAGAGCCAGTAGTCATGGAGTGGGTTAGCTTCGAGACAAAGGGAGGAGATCCCAAGATGCCTTCGAAAGCCCATTCCAATGCAGTGTTGAAAGCATCTTGGTCTCAGACTGCAGATTGAGGAGACGTAGCGGGCAAGAACCCCCTGCCAACAAGAGGTGGAGAGAAAAGGGGCATGAGCACCAGCAACTTTTTCTTCGCGCATATCGCCTCTAATAAACCATCAACCCCATGTATAAGACCCACTCCCTAACATATGTCTTAACATACTACACCCAAATTGTGCCTTATAAATGGGAAGTCATGAGGAAAGGAAACACCCGTATATTTGACAGGGGTGCTTACATTTCAGCCATGTCTTCTATCTGGGTGAATATAGTACCGCAGTCCCCTGCAGTAGGCACCATGGGGTGTGTTGGTGCATATTCATTTGCACGTCATCCTGTCGTCTATTCGCATCATTTCGTTTGCATGTGTTTTGTGTGCTACGTTGTTTGTATGGTTTGTTGGGTTTGCATGTCTTTGCATGTTCATCTTGTGCTTGTGCAGATGCGCTTGGATTGTGCATGACATCGAGCACATTCCAACGAGCCAAGAATTGTTGGAATCGGAGCACATATGAAGAAGTTACGAAGAAATGTTTGATGGATTTGTTACAATTCATTGGAAGTCCTTGTCAGCTGCTACACCAAAGTTGGAGAGCCCTATAACGAGGAGGGACCAGCATGTGTGGGACTTTTGTCCCCACCTTGCAGCTGCAGCATTTGGGGTTTGGAGGCCAACCTGGCACAGTGTGAATTTTGTCTTGCCAGGCTGGCTGAACCTGAGGATGGGGAGTCAAAACTTTGACTCTTGTCATGTTCTTGACCATGGGCCTCCAGGGTCCTTCCCTTTCATCCTTCCCTTCCTACCCCACCTTCCAACTGTGCTTCAATGCCTTTTCTATCATGCCTCTGATCTTGTAAGCTTCAATTATAGTGACTCTGAGGACTGTCAACTTCTCCTAGGGCAGATTACCCCCCAGTGCGCCAAACGCCATAGCTCACTCGTTAAGCTATGGAATCGAGTGATTCAACTTTCAGTGGAAAGCTGACGCTGCCAGCTACAACATATCCGATTTTCATATTGTTTCACCGATTGGAGTTTTGGATATAGCTATTCGAAGGTCGCGAGTTTTCTGGGCGTCATAACGAAGTGCTGCAGAAATTTCCAAGGAGCCATTGAATCATCTGCTTATAGCCTTCTCTAACCAACAAGTGGTATCAGAGCCTATTATCACGCATTTGGGACCTAAAATACGATGGGAGATAAAGAGGACTCTGGTGGAGGTGATACTTCAGTCCAAGGAGGCAGCTCAACCCAAGATTCTGGCATTGCAGCGCAAAGGGGAGCGCGTACAAGCCAGGGGTCACTGCTTAAGGAGGTGCTGAAGAACTTCACCATTGAGAAGTTCTCTGGAGATGGCTATGATGATTGGGCATGGAAGATGCAGCTCTATTTTCGACAAATTGGCCTCTTGAAGCTCATGATTGGAACGGAGCCAAGGCCAAAGGAAATGGCAGAGCAAGCGGACTGGGATGAACGTTCATCTGCTGGGTATTATCTACTGTCACAAAGCTTGGAGCTGAACCAGAGGCATCACATCATGCATCTGCTACCGGAAATTGATTGTGGGCCCAAGGCATGGGCAGTGCTCAAGGACCTGCACGCTCCGACATCGGTTGCCGCTTCTCTCATGCTGGATCGGGAGCTGTCCATGCTGCGGTTGAGCGAGAATGAACCTGTGCAGCCCGTACTGGACAAGATGAGGGAACTCTACGCGAAATTGGCGATTGCAGGCATCACGTACCCAGAGCAGACAAAGTGTCTCAAGATGCTCAGCCTGCTGCCGGAGTCTTGGCTGCAATTTATAAGCGGACTCAGCTTGCCACAAAACCAAAGTCAATGGACATTGGAGTGGATTCGCACCAAGATTCTGGAAGAAGATTTTCGTCGCTATACACTGCGCGGAGGTGATGACAGCACCAGCGGCTATGCCATGCAAGGGACATGGAGGGATCGAGGGCGTGGCAATCGCGGTCGCTCTTACCACAGCCAAGGTGGTCGCGGGACTTGGAACCAGCGGGGGCGTGGTGACGCTGGTGCAAGAGGAAGAGGTGGTCACTCCAACAATGACAACAGTGAACCACGCTTGAGGGGAGAGTGCTGGTATTGCAAGGAAGAAGGGCATCCATGGTTTCGCTGCCCTACCAAGCCCGACTGGTGGACCCCTTGGAACCAATCGCAGAAGGGGGATGGAGGAAAGCAACCACATGGAGGTGCCAACATGGTAGCTGATCCTGCTGAAGAAACCTCCAAGGATGACAGAGGAATGGGAAATGAGGAGAGGAATGCTGGACAGTTCTACCATGTGTGTGACAAAGATGACAGTGGCACAGCTGTTGCAAGGGCTGGAGAGGAATTGCACCCGCTTGACATGTGGGTCATGGACTCTGGTGCTGCATGGACAATGACACCACGCAAGGACTTGCTGGATGCTGTGCGAGCGACTCCAATCTCTGAAGTGCGCTCAGCATCCGGACATGCAGTGAAGGTCGCTGGAGTTGGTCGAGCTGCATTCAGAGCACCTGATGGTGGACTGGTTGTGCTGAAGGACGTGTTACTCGTACCGGGGCTGAAGGCCAATCTGATATCGCTGCGCAAGCTAGGCCAGGCCGGAGTCAGCACCACCACCAATGGATCCAAAACATTCAAGGGGCTGCGAGGAGATCGTGTGTTATGGGATTTACACGAAAGCAGAGATGTCTTCAGATCCATGTGGCAGATCCCTGCACTGATATGGGAATCAACAAAGAAGGAGTTGGGAGAAGTAAAGGCGGGATCTGGAGTCCAGGGGTAGTGTAATGCAGTTAGTGCTGCAGGAGTGACGGTTTCTGCAAGGTCGGGGGAGACTGATTGGGAAACCGCACACAGGCGTCTAGGGCATGTGGCTATGCCATTGCTGCAGCAACTACATAAGGAAGAAGCAGTAAAGGGGCTCAAGCTTTCTGGGCAACCAAATGATACCAAGTGCGGGACGTGTCTGCTGAGCAAGTTCAAACGGTTCCCCTTTCACGGCGTAGCTGGGAAAAGCAAGGCAGCACTGGAACTGGTGCACATGGACCTGGTAGGACCTTTTCCAGTCCGAGGAAGTAAGGGGGAAAGGTACTTCCTGACAATAGTTGATGACTGGAGTCGGTTGATGTGGGCATACCCGTTGAAGCAGAAGGATCATGCTGCCTCAACAATACGAGATGATTGGCTGCCGTTTGTCGAGCGACAATCTGGGCACCCATGCAAGAGCATCAGAACCGACCGAGGTGGAGAGTTTCTAGGAGGAGATCTGACTGCGTGGCTCAAGAAACAAGGCATTGAGCATCAGCTAACGACGTCCTATACCCCTCAGTCAAATGGCGTTGCTGAGAGGGCTAATAGGACCATCCTGGAAACTGCGCGAGCGCTGCTGATCGAATCAGGGCTGGGGAACTCCATGTGGCCTCATGCGGTGAGGCATGCTACAGTGGCAAGGAACCGCGTACTCACAAAGGTGGCTGATGATATGTGGGTGCCGCTGGAGAGGTGGCTTGGAAAGAAGCCTCCAGTGGACATGCTTCGAGTGTTCGGATGCATGGCAGTGGCGCATGTCCCTAAACCGTACAGGACAAAGCTTGGAGCATCTGCACTTTGGTGTGTGCACCTTGGGCTTGCGGCAGAGAGCAAGGGGTGGCTACTCTGGGAGCCCTCAAAGAATGTGCTGTTTGACAGTCGGGATGTCAAATTTGTGGAGAACATCATGTATGGCAAGTGGGAGAAGCAGCCGGAGGCAAGGGTCACCCAGCAGCTGGAAGAGATCACTATGCACTTCGATCTGTCCGAACCTGCGGACAGCGAAGTCACTGCGCCAACGGCAAGCGGTACTGATGAAGGAAGCAATGAGGATATTGCAGCTGATGCTGAAGTCAATGATCCGGAGCAGCAGCAGCAAGAGGCTTCCAAAACACCAAGTCTGCCAAAGCGAAGGAAACAGATTGGTGGGGGGACAAAGGATTGGGTGAAGGTGAAAGAATGGGTAAATCCAACCATCTACCCTGCACGTACCAGAATGGCAACGAGAAAGCTGTTGAGCTCCACAAGTGGAGGAGCCACAACTGAGCAGCAGGAACAGGCTCAAGGCGAAGATGCAGTGCTGTTCTTGGGTGATGACCAAGAGTCAGATGACGAGGAGCCTGCATACTGCTTTTACGCACCAATACAACCTCCGAGCATGGATCATGCGCTAGCCGGGCCTCAACGGGGGAAGTGGCTCGTTTCAAGAGATGCAGAGTTCAACAGCCAGATGGAGAATCACACATGGGACCTGGTGTACTTGCCAAATGGGAAGAAGGCAATACAGTGCAAGTGGCTGGCAAAAATCAAGACGGATGAGAAAGGAGAGCCATCAGTTTACAAGAGCAGGCTGGTGGCAAAGGGGTTTCAGCAGAAAGAGAAGGAAGATTACAATGAAGTGTTTGCCCCAACTGCTAAGTCTCCAACGCTACGTGTGCTGCTGGCGGTAGCTGCTGTGCGCAAATGGAAGGTGAAGCAGATGGACATCGTAACCGCTTTTCTGTACGGCATTGTGGAAGAGGAGGTGTACATGGTTCAACCACCTGGCTATGAGGATGGAACCGGTCGTGTCTGCAAACTTAACAAGGCCATCTATGGCTTGAAGCAGGCCCCGAGATGCTGGTACAACAGGCTGGCCAGTGCACTGGAAGGGATTGGATTCCGTGCGAGTGCATGCGACGAGAGCCTATTCCTGATGGGAGAGGGGGAGTCACTTGTGCTTCTGCTGGTGTACGTGGATGACATCCTGCTCTTCAGCAGCAGTGACAAGGAGATCGATGGGGTGCAGCGGAAGCTCACAGAGCAGTTCAAGTGCAAGTCACTTGGAGAGGCAAGGTACTACCTGGGAATGCACATTGAGCGGGATACTGAACGTGGCTGGCTCAAACTGCATCAGGGACAGTACATCAACACCTTGGCTGAGAAGTATGTTAGAAGCAGAAAGGTTCAGTTTATTGATGAAGGAAAGGCATTACATAGGAAGAGAGAGATGAGCTAGGAAGGGAAGGTTGGAAGGGAAGGGGGGGGTTAGGACCAATCACAAGGGAGGGAGGCTCCTTCCAAATGTGGTTGACCACCAGTTGGAGGTGGTCCAAGTGTGGTGTACCACCAGTGGTTTAGCCAACCCACTTGTGGTGCCCCCACAATTGTGGTCCTTGTGTTTGGGGGCTCCAACCACAATTGGGTTGGATTGACACCCCAACACAGGTGTACACCCAACTAGGGATGTAAACACAATATATACAACTAGCATAGCATGGTATATTCTAACACAACCCCATAGCATGCAAAGCTAGTGTATATGTAGGGTACAACCCCAGAATCAGGAAGGGGGGGGGGGCCCAAGGCCGAGAAGGCGGAGGAGGGCAGAGTGCGCGGTCTTCGGGAGGGCCTTGGTGAAGATGTCGGCCAAGTTGGCCTCTGCAGCGATCTTGTGGACCACCAAGTGACCTTGCTGGACCAACTCTCGAACGAAGAAGTAGCGGAGTTCAATGTGCTTGGATCGGCCATGGAAGACAGGGTCCTTTGTGAGATGGATGGTGCTGGCGTTGTCGCACCAGAGGGTGGGACAGCGCTGAGGAGCACCGATCTCAGCAAGGAGGAAGGTGAGCCAGCGAGCCTCCTGAGCGGCCATGGTGCAAGCATAGAGCTCAGCCTCGCAGGATGAGAGGGCGATGGAGGAGGAGCGAGTGGAGCGCCAGCTGATGAGGCCGCTGCCAAGGGCGAAGCCGTAGCCTTGAGAGGAACGGCGATCCGGCTGGGAGTCAGCCCAGGAGGAGTCACTGAAGCCAGAGAGGAGGGGAGGAGAAGAGCCTCCGAGGGTGAGGACATAGTCCCTGGTACCACGGAGGTAGCGGAGGACCCGCTTCGCTGCAGCCCAGTGCTCATCAGTGTGGCGACCGGTACCGACGAATCGAGCAAGAACACTGATGGGGTAGGCAAGGTCGGGGCGGGTGCACATCATAGCGTACATCAGCGAGCCGACGAGCTCAGCGTAAGGATGGTCAGAGGAGGAGGGAGCAGGAGGAGGGGCAAGCTGGTGGTCGGTCTGCAATGGTAACCGGCTTGGCCTGCGCCATGTCGAACCGCTGCAAGACTTGGTCGATGTAGAAGGACTGAGAGAGGGTAATGGTGCGCGATGTGCGGTCCCGGGTGATGGTCATGCCCAGATAGTGCTTGAGCTCACCCAGGTCCTTGCACTTGAGGCGCGCATGCAGGGCGTCCTTCACTTGCTGCATGGCGGCAGCATCGTCAGCGAACAGGATCATGTCGTCGACATACACCAGGATGAAGAAGCGGGTGGGAGAGGAGCGAAGGAAAAGGCTGGCATCAGACTGAGAGGCATGGAACCCCAAGGACTGCAGAGTGGCGGCCAGCTTGTTGTGCCACTCGCGAGGAGCCTGCTTGAGGCCATAAACCGGGCGGCGCAGCTCCCAGACTGTGTTGGCAGGGAAGGCTGCATGAAAGCCTGGAGGCCGCCGCAAGAGGACCCGCTCCTGGAGCTCGCCTTGCAGGAAGGCGTTGGAGACATCCATGGAGGCAATCTCCATGCCAATGCGAACAGCATAGTCGAGGATGGCACGGAGAGTTGGGAGCTTGGCAGTGGGAGAGAATGTCTCCCAGTAGTCGATGCCATGGGTTTGGGTGAAGCCCTTGGCACAATACCGGGCCTTGTAGACCGGCTCCTCACCCGGCAGCTGCTTCACTCGGAACACCCAGAGGCCTTCAACAATGACGTCGTCAGGAGAGGGGACAATGTTAACGAATGAGGCATTGCGGATGAAGGCCTCGCATTCAGCAAAGATAGCCTGGATCCACTTGGCAGCATCGGGGCAGGTGATGGCCTCAAGGAAGTTGGACGGAGTGAATCTGGTGGGAGCGGTAGCGATGCCAAGGATGAGGAGGCCAAGGAAGCCCGGGTAGAGAGGCGTAAGGGAAGGTGTTTGTTGCTGAACGCCAATGAGCTCCTCATGGGAGTCCTCAATGAAGGGAAGGGAGGGTGGGGGTGGTGTTGGCCAACCCCATGGATGGCCTATGAGTGGGCCGTGAGAGCGAGTGTGGATGCGTGGGAGGATGAATGGAGAGGTGGTGCGGCGATGCCGATGAGGTTGCTGCAGTGGCTGCTGCTGCTGCTGCTGCTGCTGCTGCTGTGGCTGCTGCTGGTGCTGCTGCTGCACCTCCTGCTGCGGCTGCTGTTGCTGCACTGCCTGCGGTTGCTGCTGCTGCTGCTCCATCCGCTGCTGCACCTCCTGCTGCTGCTGCTGCTGCTGCTGCTGCTGCTGCTGCTCCATCCGCTGCTGCTGCTGCACCTGCTGCTGCTGCTGTTGCTGCTGCTGCTGCTGCTCCTTCTGCTGCTGCTGCTGCTGCTGCTGCTGCTGCTGCTGCTGCTGCTGCTGCTGCTGCTGCTGCTGCTGCTGCTGCTGCTGCTGCTGCTGCTGCTGCTGCTGCTGCTGCTGCTGCTGGCTGCTGCTGCTGCTGCTGCTGCTGGCTGCTGCTGCTGCTGCTGCTGCTGGTGCTGGTGCGATGAGGCAGAGTGAGCAGGGGAGTCAGGGACAGCTGGGTCGTAAATGTCACCTGAGGAAGGAGGAGGGGGAGGAGCAGGATTTGGAGGAAGGAGGGGAGCCTGGGGAAGGAGTGGGGGAATGACAGCATCAGCCCAGGTGAGGGGGCGGGAGAGAGGAGGAAGGGGGTCGGAAGGCGGAACAGAATGATAGAACGGGATGCTCTCATCGAACACCACGTCACGGCTCTGTAGGAGGCGGCCTGAGGACGGGTGAAGGAAGAGGTAACCAGGGGCAGAGCGAGCGTGGCCAAGGTAGACACACTCAATGGCCTTGGAGGCGAGCTTTCCTGCCTGCCGAGAGCGGTCAGGTGGGGGGATGAGGACATATGCCTTGCAACCCCAGATACGGAGAATGGCAGCATCTGGCTTGGTGCTAGCCCAGAGCTCAGTGGGAGTGACAGACTGGCGTTGAGGATGTGGGTAAAGATTAGTAAGGAGAGCAGCATGGACAAGGGCATAGCCCCAAAGAGAAGGGGGCGTGGAGGCATGAGTGAGGAGGCAGCGGGCCGTCTTGGTGATCTCACGAATGCGACTCTCAGCAACACCGTTCTGCTGAGGGGAGTGGGGAAGGGTATGAGTCTGCTGGATGCCATGGGTTGAGCAGTAGGAGGAGAGGGTGCGGTTGAGAAACTCACCACCGCCGTCGGAATGGAGGCGGCGGATGGGGCGACCAAAGTGGACTCGGCACTGCTCGGCCCAGGTAACGATGACAGCAGGGGCCTCGGCCTTCGTGTGGAGGAGGAACACCGAGGAGTACCTGCTGTGGTCGTCGACTAGGACAAGCAGGTACCGGTGCCCTTGGCGGGAAGGGGAAGGGTTAGGGCCCCAGAGGTCCATGTGGACGAGGTCAAGGGGGGCAGCAGCAAAGGAAGGATGACTGAGGTGAGGCTGTTGTTTGAGCTTTCCATGAATGCATGTGGCGCATGGGGGAGCGGAAGAGGACGGGAGGGGAGGAAGAGTGGGGGGAAGACCGTCAAGCAAGCGGGAGGAGACGGCTTTACGAAGTGTGGGAAAGTTCATATGACCAAGGCGGTGGTGGATGAGAACAGCGGGGTGGGACAGTGCGCGACAAGAGCATGGGGAGGAGGTGGAGTTGGAGGAAGGTGGCTCTAGAGGGAGGGGAGGGGGGAGAGTGGAGGTGCCTGCACGAGTGGTCACGTGGCATGAGGAGGGGCGGGGTGTGCGGAGGATGTACTGACGAGAGCGAGGGCAAAGTGGGAGGCGATGAAGGAGGCGGCGAGTGGGGCCGTGGAGGAGGTCACAGTAGGTGGCAGAGGCGGGGAAGAGGGTAGTGATGCCAGCCTGTTGGAGTTCACGAATGGAGAGCAGGTTATGACGAAGGGAGGGAATGTGGAGACCAGTGACCACTCCAGAGGGGAAGGGGGGGCAGGGGAGGGTGGAGAGATGAGTGCAAGGGATGGAGAAGCTGGAATCAGCACCATGAACGTTGGTGGGGAAAGGGAGGGAGGTGAGGGTGCCGGCGTCTTTGAGGGCAGTTTCAGTGGCACCACTATCGAGAACAAAGTCAATCGTGAGCGAGGAGGGAGCTGAAGACACGGGGTACTGGAAATCACTGGCATTAAAAACAGAGGGATACATGGAAGTGGAAGCAGGGGAAGAACGCATGAGCTCGCCTAGAAAGCTGGAGTGGGAGGCGGGAGCACTAGGGGAAGGAGAGCCCCAGAGGGGAAAGCCAGGAGGACCTGGTGTGGCTGTGGCAGCCATGGCGGCGGTGCCAAAGCCAAGCTGCTGCTGCTGCCATGCAGATGCTGCGGCTGCGGCTCCTGCAGCTGTGGCTGCAGCCTGACCACCAGAGCCCCACTGCTGATGCTGCTGCAGCAGCTGCAGCTGCTGGAAGTGGCGAAACTGCTGCAGCTCCTGGGGAGTTATGGGGTCAGCGACAGAGGAGGAGGAGGAGGAGAGCTGAAGATGAGAGGGGAGGAAAGACGGAAGAGTTTTGACATCCTGGAGAGAGGGGCGGGGATCCATGGCAGACCAGCGTGGGGGGGTGCCAGTGTTGCCGCGCTCGAACCAGGCGTCATCATACGCCTTGAAGCAGGTTGCGGGGGGATGGTTGGTTTGGGTGCAGCGCTCACCCGCCCTGGGACCAAAACGGCGAAGATAGGAACATGGGGGAAGAGTGCCAGGGCGGCCACCACGGCTACCAGATGAGCCACCACTGCCTCCACCACCACCACTGCTGCCACCCTCGACCCCGCCACCACCGCCGCCGGCTCCGCTGCCCCCACAACCGCCACCTCCACCCCCTCCCTGAGGGTTGGTGCGGCCGCCACGTGGGCGCCCGCCACGACGCGGCTGTGTGACTGCAAGCTGGGGGTTTTGGGACGCGGTGGAGTTCAGGCCGGAGGGGGGGGTTGAGAGAAGGCGGGCCTCAGCGTCAATGATCCATTGGACCACAGTGTCAAGGGAGGCGCGGGGCTGAGCCTCAGTGAAGGCGATGACGCGCACTTCATATTGAGGGGAGAGGCCTTCGAGGAGACGGTAGATCTGAAGGTTGGGGGGGAGAGTAGTCTGGCGAGCCTCAAGGCGGGAGGCAAGGTCCAGGAGACGGCTGGTGTAGTCAACAGCGCCAGCACTATGTTCGATCGTGATGCTGAAGTATTCCTTGAAGAGCGGTCCGACAGCATCGAAGTCGGTGCGTTCGAACATTGCCTCAAGCTCGAGCCAGATCTGGCGGGAGCCGATGCGACGTGCCTGGAAGTTGCGCATGAGCGCAGACGGGATGGCAAGGAGAAGGGCACCAGTAGCACGGCTGTCCGCCTCGAGCCAGGCGCGACGACGCTCAGCAAATCGCGCAGAGTCAGCGGCATAAGCGGCGGCGGTAGCGGCATGCTGGGTGCGGAGGGTTGCCGACCGCTCGTGTTCCTCCAACGCGATCAGGTAATCAGTATGGAGCACGAGGAACTCACGACGCTGAGTAAGGAAGAGCTGCTCAACTTCAGCGGTGGCAGCGCGAGTGCTGGTGCCAACGGGTACTATGGGGGGCGAAGGTTCCTCGCCGGGATGGGGAATGAGAGGGGGGGGATCGCCAGGGTGAGGCGGCGGGTCCCCAAGGTCACCCTCTGGGAGACCAAGCATGATGTCCAGGAGGCGGAACGGCAGGACATAAGCACTGCCGAGGACGCGGTGGAGGCTGCCGACGAAGGAATACCAATTGGTTGCTGAGTTGTCGGCAGCGCGCACGAGATGATCGAGGGTCGAGACGTCGACGGGAGGGGGAAAGGATGACATTGGTGACACGGAGTGGGAGGAAGGCGACGGCGGGTGGACCCGCGGTGGCCGGGAGGGAGCGGCGGCGGGTGGACCCGCGGCGGCTCAAAGAGGAGGGGAGGATGGGGATGGCTGTAGATACTGCTGCTGCTGCTGCTGCTCCTTCTGCTGCTGCTGCTGTTGCTGTTGCTGCTGCTGCCGCTGCTGTTGCTGCTGCTGCTGGTACTACTCCTTCAGCTGCTGCTGCTGCTGCTGAGTCTGCTGCTCCTTCTGGTGCTGCTGCTGCTTCTGCTGCTGCTGCTACGGCTGCAGCAGTGGTAAGGCGGCGATGAGCAGGTGCAGGTGAGGAGGCAAAAGATGGGGAAAGATGGCAGTTAGCTGATGAAAATAGGACTTGGTAGAAATTTCAGTAGCACTTCGTGATCACATCCAGGAAAGTGTGCAAACTTCGGAAAGCGATATCTGACAATCCAAGCGATGAAACAGTCCGAAATTTTACGACGTTGTAGTTGACACCAAGAGCGTTCTTTTGCAAGTCGAATCACTCAATTCTGTCAACTATCGAGCGAGCTATGGCGTTTGGCGCATTGGGGGTTTTTGAAAATCCACCCAACAGAAAACTAGTTGAGAGGCGGCGGCTAGGAGTCTAGCAGCGGCGATGGAGGGGACGGCAATGAGGTGCACGTCGGAAGGGGACGGGGCGGAAGCGTGGGGAAGGATCGTTAAAAGTTGGCGTGAGCCATTATTGCTCTATACCATGTTAGAAACAGAAAGGTTCAGTTTATTGATGAAGGAAAGGCATTACAAAGGAAGAGAGAGATGAGCTAGGAAGGGAAGGTTGGAAGGGAAGGGGGGGTTAGGACCAATCACAAGGGAGGGAGGCTCCTTCCAAATGTGGTTGACCACCAGTTGGAGGTGGTCCAAGTGTGGTGTACCACCAGTGGTTTAGCCAACCCACTTGTGGTGCCCCCACAATTGTGGTCCTTGTGTTTGGGGGCTCCAACAACAATTGGGTTGGATTGACACCCCAACACAGGTGTACACCCAACTAGGGATGTAAACACAATATACACAACTAGCATAGCATGGTATATTCTAACAAAGTACTCTCTGCAGGAGGAACGGGAAGTGGTCACACCTTTGCCTTCCGAGTTCAAACTCATAAAGGCAGCTGAAGGAGAAGGAGTTGAGAGTGAAGACCAGAGGCAATTCCAATCCATGGTCGGGAGCCTACTCTACGCTGCTGTGCATACTCGGCCTGACATCAGCTTTGCTGTGGGACAGCTGGCTCGAGTAGTGCAAAATCCAACAGAAGAGCAGTGTGGTGCAGCGGAGAGAGTGGTGCGCTACCTCAAGTCATACCCTACAGTGGGAGTACAGTATTCAGCCTCTGCTCAACTCAGTCAAAAAGGAATTGAAGTCCTCAAAGAGAAGGGGGAGCAGCTCGGAGAAGGAAAGGTGTTCCTTTCCTGTCTTGCTGATGCCACGTGGGCTTCTGAGCATGAGGATTCATCATCAGTTGGTGGATACATCTGCATGGTGGGAGGTGGGCCTGTAAGTTGGAGGTCCAAGAAGCAGTCTGAGACGGCACTATCTTCAGTGGAATCTGAGTACATGGCGATGTTTCATGCGGCAAAAGAAATCATCTGGCTAAGGAGGCTCTTGAAGGAGATCGGCCATGAACAGACTTGTGCGACACCTCTGTTCAGTGATAGCAAGGGAGCCATTGCCATGGCACGCAATGCAGTTCTTCATGGGTTGAACAAGCACATGAGGATCAAGTGGCATTGGCTGCGGAAGGAGGTGAAGCTTGGGACACTGGATCCGATCTACGTGAAAACTCAGCAACAGCCAGCCGACTTCCTTACCAAGCGGCTAGCAAAAGAGCCACACTGGCGCTGTGCGAGGATGGCGGGAATGTCCTTGAACTAGAGACAGCGAAACAAGCCGACAGTCTGAGGGGGAGTGTGTTGGTGCATATTCATTTGCACGTCATCCTGTCGTCTGTTCGCATCATTTCGTTTGCATGTGTTTTGTGTGCTACGTTGTTTGTATGGTTTGTTGGGTTTGCATGTCTTTGCATGTTCATCTTGTGCTTGTGCAGATGTGCTTGGATTGTGCATGACATCGAGCACATTCCAACGAGCCAAGAATTGTTGGAATCGGAGCACATATGAAGAAGTTACGAAGAAATGTTTGATGGATTTGTTACAATTCATTGGAAGTCCTTGTCAGCTGCTACACCAAAGTTGGAGAGCCCTATAACGAGGAGGGACCAGCATGTGTGGGACTTTTGTCCCCACCTTGCAGCTGCAGCATTTGGGGTTTGGAGGCCAACCTGGCACAGTGTGAATTTTGTCTTGCCAGGCTGGCTGAACCTGAGGATGGGGAGTCAAAACTTTGACTCTTGTCATGTTCTTGACCATGGGCCTCCAGGGTCCTTCCCTTTCATCCTTCCCTTCCTACCCCACCTTCCAACTGTGCTTCAATGCCTTTTCTATCATGCCTCTGATCTTGTAAGCTTCAATTATAGTGACTCTGAGGACTGTCAACTTCTCCTAGGGCAGATTACCCCCCAGTGCGCCAAACGCCATAGCTCACTCGTTAAGCTACGGAATCGAGTGATTTAACTTTCAGTGGAAAGCTGACGCTGCCAGCTACAACATATCCGATTTTCATATTGTTTCACCGATTGGAGTTTTGGATATAGCTATTCGAAGGTCGCGAGTTTTCTGGGCGTCATAACGAAGTGCTGCAGAAATTTCCAAGGAGCCATTGAATCATCTGCTTATAGCCTTCTCTAACCAACAGGGTGTGCTTACTATAAGGGGTCAAAAGTAGTTCCTTTAGGTTAACACACCTTTGGGTGCTCGATAATGGTTGTATCGACATTTCATGTATGAAGACTCAGCTACTCTTTGTCAATTCAGCTCTTGGGTTTCGTAACCTTGGTGTGAATCATAGCACATGCTGGATGTGGGGAGCTGCCACATGCTGGCATATTGTGGGGGGAGGGGTGGGAAGAGGGAGGGGATGGGAACTGTGTGCTTTGGGAGTTTAGTGTGATTGGTGAAGGCTCATTTGCCTGGTGAAGGCTCATTTGGATGGCAATGGCACATTTGGTTGACAATGGCACATTTGGCTGGTGATGACACATTTGGCTGGTGAAGGCTCATTCGGATGGCAATGGCACATTTGATTGGTGAAGGCTCATTTGGTTGGTGATGGTTGGGGGAATGTAGGAGGAGAATCCTGGGGTGTTGTACTTTGTGCTCTCTTCTGATTCCCACCCAAAACACCTTCCCTGCTCTCAATCCCTCACATTCCTCCTCCTCTCCATGTATCTCTCTCGTTCCGCCCCCACAAATCCTACTAAGTGCGCTTCACCCACATCCCCCTAGCTGCATGGCAAGGAATCACGTTTGTGCTGCGGTGCTTCGTGACGCCGCATAAGTGGCTGCTGTAGGCCATTCAGTGCTGACATTCGGTGGGTGTGCGCAGGTGGGGGGAAGAGGGGGGAGGGGGGGAGTTGGAAAAAATCATCGCAGGTGCATGTGGTTTGTGGATAAGTGCGTGGAAAACAGATGTGGTTTCTATCAACAATTGCTGAAATGCGTACGTGCATACTGTGGAAAAAAAGAAACAGAAAAAGTTGCAATTTCCGATTTTACAAATCGTTACAACATTTCCACACTTTTCAAACCATTCGAACTTGAGATTCAAACTCGAGCATGGATCTGGCATTTCGCTTGTCAGAATTCCATTATTTGACATTTCACCCACTGAAATGATGAGACTTGGTGCTTTGCCAATCAAAATGCAACGAGCTGCATCGATAAGCCACCAAATCCGCCTCCTTGCCAATTATTTTTTGTCAGATCTAAGACAATATTGAATTGAAGACTGTAACGGGGATGGGGGGCTAGCACCTCGAGGCAAGAAATGCTTGCCTCGAGGCAAGCAATAAATAATTGTCTAGTTCAGGGTGCTCAATACCCCCTCTACTTCCCAAACCCCTAGATTTATGTTTGCCAGCAGTTTATTTTTTACCTGCAAGACCCTACAGTTTTGGCATAGTCTTCCTACCCTCGCATCCAGTGATTTGTGGTTAACCGCTAGCGAACAAACAACGAACCGAGGTTTTTCCAAGTTAGGCAGAAAACATAGCATTCTGGGAATAAGGGTGGAGGAAGAAACGTGAGGATGAGATTTGATGGTGAAATGGCAAATGATCTGAAGGCAAATTGATGGTTTGGGGTGCACAAGTGGTGGGTGCTCTCCTTCATGTCCTGACATTGCTTGATATTCCTCTCTCCATCTAGACCCCTCCATTCTCCCTTCACCCTCCCACGCCCACTCTATGTGGACCTGCACGCATTAATGACCAGTTGAAGAATCTGACAAGCATCGTCAACGACCTCCGCAAAGAGAACCAGCGACTTCGCAGGGTGTTGCAGTTTTATCTGGTACTGTATTTTGGGCTACAACCCGCCCATATACCTGTTGACTTTCTCCAACTCGTGCATGTAGCCACATCTGTCCACCAACTGCTGGAACGACGCGGTTTACTCGGACACAGATCCCAGTTGCTTCCACATGCGTAGAGTTTCGCGTGCCTTGTCTGAGTCAGGTGCATGCTCAAACTGCTTGTGAACCTTTGTGCACCACGTTGCCGACGTGCAAACGTGGGTTGCTTCAAACAACAGTTCTGCCTTGTCTTCTTGCCAAATTCCTCGGACCACTCATGCTGTCCTTCATGTGGTCCCTTTTATGTTATTCCTCTTCTTATCATGATTCATTTGGTCTTTATCTCATCTCATTTAGTTTCCTATTCCTCATTTTTCCATAATCCTTTGGTTTGTCCTGTTGTTATAACTATATCACCGACTTGGCTCGGAATGTACTGGCGCGCTATATCTAGCGTAATCCTGTCGTAATCCCTTAAAGCTAATAGCCTTGCAAGGCTATACGTAGGGTGATTTTATTTCTAAAAGGGTCTATTCCCTTCGGATATGATAAATCTGGTTACCCGATGTACCTTAGAAGTATAAAATCGCCTTGTCTCGATCGAGAAAGCAATTTTCCTCTCGACCATTTCGATCCTGTGATACTTGGTAATCGGAGCCTTTCTCATTCGCCCGCACTCATCTAAGAAGCAACAGTGGAAAACCTGCCTCAAAAAACCGTCGGGGACGACTAATTCGGCGCTGATTTTGGAAAGCACCAGCTCTATGTTTTTTATGAACCCCTCTGTGTGTGTTTTGAATAGGATGGCGAACTTCGACAACACCAAAGTCACCCAACAGCTCTTCGCGCACATCGCCGCCCTAAGGGAGGAGATGCGAGCTGACCGCGAAGCTTGGCGAAACAAGTTCGAGCGACTAACTTGACTCGCCAGTGCGCAGCACAAAACGACAACGGCGACGATGCAGTAGTCGTGGTAGTTTCTCAAGGCTCCAAAGCCTCACCCACCTGAGCCGTTCGATCCGAGCGATCCAAATTCTGACATCCGCAGATGGATCGCCAACACGGAGATCTACGTCGCAGCCGTCGGATGGAGCTCGCCGATCTGGGACGGCCAGCGCGTGCGACTCACGGCAACACTGATGCGAGGGCCGGCACTCGAGTGGATCGGCGGCAACAGTACTTTCATCCATGGCAAAGCCATGTGGCAGCAGTTCCGCACTGACCTGCTGAAACGTTTCGAGCCGATAAATTCGGGTTTCCTCACCTGGGAAAAAAATCATCGCCATCGATAGTTCAGAAGTGTAGCGCAGTACACGCAACAGGTGGAGGAATTTTGTAACCTCATTCCCACCTGACCGAAGTCGAAAAAGTGCAGTCTTACCTCGCCGGGCTGAAGACCGAAGTCCAACGACAGTTAGCAGTGAAGAATTACGCGAGCTACAGTGACGTCGTTTCAGCAGCGGAGCGTTTTGACATGGTCAACGCTGGAACACGACGGGTGTACGTCGGTGGTACGCGACAAGGCGACCGCTCGGCACACCCCACGTTCGCCGACCCGATGGAAATCGACAGGTTCGACGGGCGGCCACGTCAGAAAAATGCCAAATTCACGTGCGATTTTTGCTGATTGCCGGGCCATTGAATCTTCGACTATCACAAAATGAAGGCCGCACGTGCGGAGTATCGGGCACGCAACAATGGTAGAAATTCTTTGGCCAATCAGAAAAAAAAAAAAAAAAAAAAAAAAAGGGGGGGGGGGGGATCGCCTCTGATTGCGGATCCAGCTGGCGGAAAAAAAAATGATCCGAAAGCTGTCGCGGGGTTCTGGAAAAATCAACTTCGACGAAGCTAAATTCGACGCGAACAAGAGGAAATGATGGGGGGAAATCTCCACCCCGCAACCAGTCTTCGCCAGGGAAGATCGCTGAGAGAAAACCTGAATCCGTTATAGAGGACTCTGCCGAGACAGGGAAAATCCTTGAAGACCCAAGAAATTATAAGGATTCATTAAAGTTATCTTATAAAGATGCTTAAATGAAAACGATGGTGAATGCCATCAAGTTACCAGTCTATGGTGAAGCAGTGTTGCACCTACAAATCAGACTACTGCGCTGGAGACCTGCCCTCCCTATCACCAACATAATAGAGCTTGACCTGATCTTCGCGCGAGAATTCCTTTAAAAAATCAACCCCGAGATCAATTGGGTCAACCACACTGCAAGCATCTACAACAATGGAAGGAGAGTACTGCTACCAAACTTGAACGACACAGGAGAAATCCCAGTAGAGACACTCGCCAGATTCGAGAAGGATGTGAAACAAACGGTCACTGGGTTCTGGCGATAGCATCGGGGGTGGAAGACAAGGAAGAGAAAGCGTCATAACATCTCGAGAAATAAAGGAATGACTGAAGGAGTTCCAAGACATTCTTCCCGACGACCTTCTGAACGAGCTACCGCCACACTGACAGACCAACACGAACTCGTGGAGGAACCAGGTTCAAAGCCGACCTTCTGAGCACCATATAGGCTCAGCCCTACAGAGCAAGCCAACATGAAAAAACAGATAGAGTATCTCCTCAAAGAAGGACTCTTCCGTCCATCCACTTCACCATACGGTACCCCAGTACTCTTCACACCGAAACCGGACGAAAGCCTGCGCATGAGCATCGATTACCGAGCTCTCGACAAGCAGGCCATCAAGAAAAAACACCCAATTCCACGAATCGATGTCCTACTTGACCAGCTTCGGGGAGCCACGGTATTTTCCAAATTGGATCTGCGGTTCTTATACTAGCAGCTATGAATGGCGGACAATTCCATCCACAAAAATGCCTTCCGAACTCGGTATGGGTGGTACGAGTATCTGGTCATGCCGTTTGGACTCACCATCGCACCGACAACCTTCCAAGCCGAGATGAACTACATTCTATAACCATTTTTGGACGAGTGTGTGGTGGTGTACCTGGACGACATCCTCATTTACTCGCGCGATGTGAAGCAGCATGGTGAACACCTGCGACGCGTCTTCGACATTCTTCTACGAGAACGATTCTAGGTCAAATT